TGGTGACTTTTGGCTTTTGTACTTTGGTTTTGGAATGTAAGTTTTTGTTTTTTTGCAGTTTTTCCAAAGTACTTTTATATAAACACAAGGCGCTTTTACAATAACAAAGCTTTACTGTCGTATGTACTCTTTGAAGAGGGGTTGCCGTTGGTTGAGTTGTATTCCGCAATGCTTGGGCGTCCTGTGTTGTTGAGGCTTCGCGAAGACAACACTGCATGCGCGAAGGTTGTAACAGCTGGCTACTCGAAGAAGCTGAGGCATCTCAAACGCGTACATCGCGTGAGTTTGGCTTCGGTGAAAGAACAGTTGGACCGCGATGACGTGGAACTGAGCCTTGTTGGAACAAGCGACCAGAAAGCCGATGCTTTCACAAAAGCAGTTGAGCCTGCGCTATGGCCCAAAACCCTCCAAAACCTTGGAGTGCACCTTGATGGTTACACCATCAAACACACCTCAGGCAGTGGCCTAGAGCTGGACAAGCAGATGGCTTTGCAGCCAGATGCACCAACGACAGATGTAGCGACAGGACCTCAGGGCACGACAGGCCCTACCCAGCCAGGGTACAAGAAACGGCAGAAACACAAGCCGAAGAGAATACCTCCATACAGTGTACCATAGAGCCTTTCCGACACAGCTGGATAGACCGGGATTCAGAACTGATCCCAAGCCGTCGAGCAGCTCAGGAGTCAGAGGGGGGAGAAGAAATCCCTCAGCTGAAACCATCACCAGAAGTCGGCCTACCAGGAGATAGACCAAGGTTTTAGCTTTCAACTATAAGTATATATATTTATTGGAATTGTTAATGCATAATCATTATATTTTTGGCCCAGTCGAAATTGTACTTTTTTCACTGGGACCACGTTTATTTATACATAAGCATTGAATTTTTCGACCCCTTCGAAATTGTGCATTTTTAAGGGGTCCAAACTAGTATTATACATGTTTCGAAATTGTACACCAAACTAGTATTCAAACTTTACTCTGAAAGCCTATGCCATTACAATCATTTGTTTCTTGTCCATGACCCTGGTGATGCAAATGATACGACGATGAAAAACAGTCAGGCGTACCCGATATATAAAACTATGTGCTTTCTAGACGCACCTCATGATGCAGAATATGCATTTTTTTCAAACGACAAGGAGGGTCCCCTAGCTACATAGCAATGAACGCATAGTCACCGTTTAAAGCCTCAGCACCTTCGGTGCGGGCTGATTTTTTGTTTGTTTTTGCATGTTTCGATTTTTTGAGCTGTTAACCATTGTTGCTCTTTCTGCTTGCTAATTAATTGCTCGAGATGTTTTGAGACTTTTCGATATTTTAGATATTTTTTCACATGTATTGCATGTAATGTAAAATCTCTTAACGAGATGTTTTTCTTGTGTCATGAAAGTCCTCCATTCTCAGACCACGTGAAAACAACTCTTGCATACATATGCTCATACTTCGCCAGGCATATTCTTCGGCTGTAACGAAAAAATTGTTTGTCGTTTCCATGGTCGAGTGATTGTTCTTGCACCTACTTTTTCCAGTTGTGTTCAATAACTTCTGCGCGTTCATCCCCAAAATTAACTCAATCGAGACTCTTTTATATAATGTTTCCAAGGGTTCCGGACATCGAGGGTCGTTCCGGGGTCCGAAAGAGGTTGAGATTGAAAGGGGCGATGCAGAATGAAACTGCAATTTTGCTGCAACCATCGCGAACCGTCCTTCGTCTTCACATGCTTTGTGGCGCCGTGAAACACATCGACCTGTTGGTCACTCGCAAGTTGCATTTGTTTGCGGTTGCGACATCAACTTTTACAGTAAACATAGTGAATCAGGGTGAGAGAAAGAACGGGTTTCGCAACTCAGGTCTTTTTGTAGGTTTCGTTCCATATCCCAAAGCATTTCCAGTTCACGAAAACATCGCGTGGGTCAGGGTTTTGTTTTCCCTTGTCTTTTTCAAACATTTGGCAAAAACGGGTTTCTCGCTTGGCTTGTTGCGGGGAAGTTTCTGCTTGCGTGTTTTGTCGTTCTTCAAGTCCTGCACGCCCCCGGACTAGCGGCGCTGTAGGCCCAGATGTTCGGTCAGTAGAATCGTGGCTCCCAAAAACACTCCTGGCATTGATAAGCGCCACGAGCATGAACCTCTCAACCTTTGTCAGCGAGTTCCTCAAATCGACCGGGCTCGCGCGCAACCCACCTGTAAACTCCGCTAAGTCAGCAAGTGCCCCGTCATATTCTTTTCCTTGGTCAATGTAGATAGTGGATGGGCTCTCAAAAGGTGACACCCAAGCTTCCCCAAAAGCATTCGCGACTGTGTGGGCTGATCTATTTGGGAGTACCCTAACCACGTGGTGCGTCGATGCCTGACAGATCCACAACAGACATGACCGGCTACTGAGTGTCATAATCGTCCCACAAAAAGATACAAAAAGAAAAGACCCTACCCCCACAAAACTTGATTCAGTGTGCGTAGCTCCTGCGCAAAGGGTGCAATGTGGTGGCTTCTTTGCAGCCGCAGCAACTTCTGGCCTCGCCCTTCCCAATCAGTGTCCCCCTTCGCGTGGTCATGCTCAGAACTGCCCGTCCCCGCCATCTCTTCTTCATGGTCTACATAAAGAAACGGCGCCTCAACATGGTATGTGGTGTCATATCAAAAGGTTGGCGTTACATGCCTGTGCAAAACACCCAGCCGATTGTCCTCTGCTCGTCCCGGCCCATTCCCTTCGTGTGCACGGACTTGTCCTCCGCCGAGGTGATTTCAGCCGTAAAAAGAATATGTTGGCAAAGGGCACAAGTCCACACAGCGCACGCGCTTGAGGGTGACATTTGACGACCTGGCTTGTTTACAGAGCTGTGTTCTGGCCCAACCACAGATATAAAGGATTTAATCCCTCGTTGCTTGTCGTTGCCCCCCTGCAAACGCATTCCAAAACGATGCTATCAACTTGTCCAGGGTATCCTAGAAGACTTGCTGTTTCCATGCAACAGATTTTCGGGGATTCCCAACAATGACCAAACCAGCGGGAAGGGTGCCGTCCAACTTCGTTTGCGTACACTTGCGGGCAAATTCCCGGGATCTGCTTGTTTTCTGTGTCATATCAAAATGTTGTTCTTTTCCCAATTTTCTCCTGTTGAGTGGAGTCATGATGCGGAAGGGGGCTTGAAGGACCCGATGGAGGAGGAGGGTGATAACGTCTGGTTTCGCTTCACAAATCTCACGCGCTAGCGCGCGTTTCCTCTTCAGGGTCAGACAATTCAGTCCCGTACACCCCTATCTCTTTAGCCGACGGCAGCACGTGCAAAGAACTTCTCACTAGCATACAGTTCTAAGTAGTTCTAATATGTTCTAATTATATTCTATTCCTTTTCCAGCACCCTGCGCATTTACCGAAGGCGCCGGATTTACCGTGACATGGATTCACCTTTCGTCTGACACTGTCTGACACTGGATGAAAGCCTCGATCTTCTTCCAAACCACGGTACTCTTCATCCAAAGCACACAGAAGACACCGCACTTCGTCCTTGCCTTTCAACTTCCGGGCGAGGTGGCGTGTCAACTCTAGGGCCTCGCCAGGTTGAGCTGAAGGGCTAAGCCGGCCCAGTCCTGACCCACAAGTTGCGTGTATTGCTTGCAAGACCTGCGATACTCTCGATACTTGCTGAAGCTGCTGCAAAAAGTACGGGGTTTTGACATTCTTTGCACGGTCAGCTCTACGGTATTGCGGTGTCTCAACCGTCGGTGTTTCGAGCTATAGAGGACTGTGAGGAAGTCGTTCGCGAAGAAGAAGTGGAACTCGGTGAAATGGACGGATCGCCGGATCGCTCGGGCCTTCGTTTTTGTCCATGGTCTCTTCTCTCACGCTTCCGGTCTTGTCTGTCAGGAGAGGCTGAGTCCGAAGCTTCAGTTCTTCTTCTTCTTCTTCTTTCTTCTTCTTCTTCATCATCTTTTTCTCCTTCTCCCTTCTTCTTTCCCTTCTGCGTTCCTCGGAATCTCCATTCCAAGAAGGCTCACCACGATCTCAACGATGTTCATGTCTTCGCGAGGCCAAAGAAGCATCGGCAGCTGACTTCGCGAAGTCCTTGTCCTTTTCCCTCTGCTTTCTCTCTTGCGTGGTTGTTCATCGTCCGGCGGCTTGAACCAGCAGCCATGATCATGGCTTACGCAGGCCCCGCCTAGTTTTCGCAACTGAAGCGGCGAAAGGAATGCAACCAATCCCCCTAGAACCAAGAGCGGGCCAGCTCGAGCTGAATGGTCGTAGTCAAGGCTTTCATCTTCACACTCTATTGTTCGATCCCCTTGAAATTGTATATGTTTCAGGGGACTCAACTTATATCTGTCAATGTCAGCAATTTTCTTTCCAATCCACTTCTTTATTCACCTGCTGCATGAGAGTACAAAATATGTGTGATCGATTGCGCGGTGCTAAATTTGCTGGCGTTCTTTGATGTAAGTTGGACACCCCGAAAAAAATACTACATCAAGCAGGTCAAAAAATAGAGTTGATTTACAATACAATCAACTTTCTAATATGCATGATGACCTAGAGATGACAAGTACCATACTGTAGATTGATCTCATTAATACCCTAGTACTTTATTGTCACCCGGTCCATGAAAGGCACATAACAAACAACTCCGACTCCTTTCAACAACTTGATTCGTTTCTTATTGCTGCACTGCAAACGGCGCCGCCAGAGCCAACTCTCTAAGAGCTCAGGGTTCGCACCTCAACACAATCACGCCCCTCAGCACCTTCGGGGCGGGCGGGGCTTCTGATGTTTCCCACTATATATGCAAATCTGTTTGCTCACTTGTGTGTCTTGGCACCTTGCGGTCTACTGAAACAGCCTTGATGTTTTAGCTCACTTTTTTGCGCTTCCCTCGCTTTTCGTGCCGGATGTACTTCCCAGGTGAGAAGCCTTCCAGCTTGGAAGATGCCTTGGCCAGCCTCGGCGCAGCTGAAGCCATCGAAGAGGGTTTCTTAGATTATAGCACGCAGCGGCTCGCCTCTATTAGTATTTGGGGCTTTTGCATAGTCCCACTCACTAACCCAACTCAACCAACTGAGACGTATCACACGAAGGCTTTGCGGGACCAAAATCATGTTGTACTTCAATGTGCAAGCTGTGGGAGTCCAAGAGCTGCCAGCCACTTGTGTAAACCATGCTTCTGAAACGTCAATAAATGAACTCCAAGGTTAGAGGAGGAGTATGAACGGCGACTCCTGATCCAACGCCCTTTGTTTGGCATGAGTCTGACTTCTGCGGAAGAAGCAGCGGACTTTGCCAAGGGCGCCCTCGAGGAGTTGACAGCGTTGGCGTACACGGTGGCGCACCCAGCAGGAGGCAACCTGTCTCAGCATTTCCTTTGGAAGGTTTGGTAATTGATTGCTGCGGGTTCATTCTGCGGCGCTTTTAAATACAGTATTGTTTGTGCCAACCTCTCAGCAGAACTTGGAACTGTTGCTGCGCGCTGCCAAATTCTACATCGCTGTGCTAACTGAAAGCTAGGTTCATCAGTCGCACCTCGAGCGCCCACACTCTTCATTGCTTCCCGAAACTGTTGGCTTTCAATGGAGCCTTCGAATGGCTTTGCGGTGCCTATAAAGACATCTTCTATGTATAGTCACATGATGTCACATGCTTGAGCGCTTTCTAGGGCGCGGCAAAGGCTTTGTGCAGCCTGTCGGGACGGCGGTGGGTTTGTTTTGGCTGGACCATTGGATGTATTTGTCTTTTTATTGCCGGATTCTTTTTGTGGTAGTTTGTCCTGGTCCTGGCTTCAGCTTCTGCGGCTTTTGACTTTTAGTTGCTTTTCTACGGCTTTCGGCTTTTGGTGGCTTGTGTGGCTTTAGGCTGGTGTTTTGTTGCGAGGTGGTTTGGCTTTTGATGGCTTGCTTTTGGTGGTTCTCGTTGATATCTCTCGTCGGGTGCAGGTACTTCCACAAACTCTAGAGCTTGAGAATCAAGTGTCGTTTTGACACAGAAGCCTTGGACCGGAAGCATCTCTGGAATCCCATCTGGTACTTCGAAGGTGATTTGGGCTGGAGAGCGGAAGGCCTGGGCTGGTCTCCAAAGCCCTTGGACATACATACGTATTGCAATTCCCAAGTCCCAAGTCAGAGGTTTCTTCGTACGGCCACTGGGATAGTGGATGTGGAGAACGCGCGGGACAACCACAAAGCCTGCGCTTGTGAAATGGGCTCAGAGCCAGCAATCCCTATATAATATTTGCATATATTTGCAAAGATGTTCACAGAATACCAACCACACCGCCAGCACCCCCCCTGGCCAGGAGCATCACAAACCAATCCAATGGAGGTAGGTAGATCAAGGGAAAAGACTCTTCAGGAATCAACATATCCGTAGAGGCAAGACCCAACATTGCAGCTGCTGCTGTTGGAGGTGAGACCAGAGCTAGCCTTGCAACATCTTAGAACCCTCAGCCCGAAGCTCACATGTTTTCGTGTGGCAAGAAAGAAGAAGGCGGGCTTTCTGGCTTGTGACACCTTCTGAAACTGGAGTTCATGATCTGATCAAGCTTGATCGCTTGCTTCGGTTGGAGTCTTGAGGCAGCCTTGCTCACGTTTGGCATGATCATGTTAAAGATGCCACTGTGTGCTTCTTTTGATGACACAAGAGTGTCGATGTGGACCAAGGGGGAAGGTGGTTTGCGCCAGTTTGTGTTCAATCGACTGGCACCGTTGCGGCCCAACTGTGTGTGTGTGCTCGCGCATGATGCTCTCACAATTGCACGGTGCACGGCAATGCGCAAAGCGGTTTGAAAGATTGAAGTTCAATTCGTCAATTGGTTGGCAACATTTTGGGGCCCTGGGCAGGATATGTGGAACTGGGCCCAGAGCCTTCTGCCATACGCATGTCCAGATTGTATCGACAACAGCAAGAACATGGCCTGGTGTTTGATGACTGGGTTCCTTGACCGGCAGGGTTGTGCGAAAGTTTTCAGCATTTGCCAACCCCCCTTTCAGGCATGGAACCTTTTGGAAGTTATATAGATTGAACATGTGGTTTCAATTTGGGAATTTCTGCCACAGGCTGCAGTGGTTGGTGGCTGTGAGGCCACCCTGATCTTCCCGAAGCTGGAAGATGTTTATCAAGCGCTCGCAGATCCTTGCTTTGCGAACTAGCTCCTCGATGGTTCCGCAAACCCTGGAAGGCAGCTGCAGTGACAGCAAGGGCCACATAAGGGTGTGGCAGTGATTTTGAGTCACACAGTTTCAACATGCTGCTGCTAAGCTAAGGACTTAGAAAAAGCAAAGAGCTGCAGCATTAGAGGAGAAGCGCAATCGTACGCCAAGAATTTTGTCGCATTGTTTTCCCGCAGTTCAATCCATACAACCAAGGCTGCCCAAACCCATCCCGGGTTCACAAAACTGTGATGCAGGTGCATGCATCGATCGAGCGATTTGGATCGGCTGAACTCCATTGCTTGCTACCGTTTAGGCTGCTTTGTATGATTCATAGATCCTCATACAGTACTGTAGTCTCCAAGTTCCTCTGAAGAGGTACTGCTTGGCCAAATACGTGATTACGGCCTTGAGGTGTTCAACCATGCCAACCCCCAACCAAAGCGTGGCATTGGCGCGAAGTTTGATGATATCCAAGTGCCAACTTAGACCGCGCAAGATTTGCGCATTCGATAGATGTCATTAATTCCAGCTGCTGACGTGACACAGAAACCTAAAGCACACAAGTACTGTAGACATTCCAAATGCTACTCCTTGTGGAGAAGCGCTGAGCTGGATTTTCTTTAACCTGATAAACCTTTGCAGCGGAGTCCATCAGGACAGGACGCGAAAAAAATAAGTAGATTAGCCCGGCAAGAGGCCCCAAACAGTGTGTGTGAGGTCTAGAGTCTAGAGGTGTAGCAGCAGAAAGTCTAGAGATCTAGACGCACGGGGGTCCAGAGAGGTGATGGTGGTGATGAAGGTGGAGATCGTGGTGATGGTGGTGAGTGAGTGAGTGAGTGAGTGAGTGAGTGAGTGAGTGAGTGAGTG